AAAGTCTTCTTCTTTTCCAGGAGTTATCCAGATCTCTGATATGGCTTTCACCTTGAATGGCTGTTCAAACTGTTTTATGTAGTCTTTGATGGATTGAAAGTTTGCATATAAGCTTTGACTATTAAAGTGAACCGTTGTTATACCCTTTTCTACCTTGATTTTCTTTTTAAATTGCTCATTTGTATAATAATAGCATTCATTTGTCTTATTGTTAAAAAAATTACAATCAGGATCTATGTTGCTGTCATGCACCATTTTTTTATTTTGCAATAAACCTCCTTCACGTGTCAGTGAGTGCCTGCTCTTGGGTCCTCATTTATTTCCTCCACACGGCTCACCCCGGTTAGCCGTGACAAATCATCCATGCGACGCATCTTCCCACCGCCTTCAAGTTGGACTCAAGTTTATAAAGAACCCATGTCAAAGTATTGTGGTTAAGTTACATCCAATTTATTAACCCACCTCTGAGATGAAGTGCAGCTGCGAAGAACATTCTTTCTCCCGTTTGGCTACAGCAGGCGATGAGGTGCATTTAATGTTTCTCTGTTAATTTGAGTTTCCATGAGACTGCGATAAACTTCTTTTTTTAAATATATATATATATTACTATGCCAATCCTGTTTAGTTTTGTAGGTATTGTCTATATTGAGGGGTCTTTTTTTATTCTTATTTCATTTTGCAAAATTATTTGAATTAGGCCCTCCAATTAAAATAGATTTTCTGTTGTCTGTTGAAAAGATCTGGATGGATATTTTATTTTTTTCTTTATTTCTATTTTTCAGTTTTATTTTTCAAGATTGTGAGTTCTCTTTTTTAAATAACTGGACCTACTAGTGATGGCCAAATGAAGCTTTCTGAAGCATGGAAGCTTGTATTGAAAAACGGTTCATTGCTTTTCAACACAGTCCTGTCTGGTGACATCTGGTGGCCAAAATATGAAGAGCAGCTTGAATCTACAACAAACTGCTTCATTATGACTGCCCACTCTACAGAGTGGAGTTCACGTTTCTATCTGATATTGGGCCACCGTTGTCTTGCTTTGAACATGTATTTTTTGGGGGTGAAAAAATTCTTGATCAAAATTATATATTTAACAAATGAACAACAAACTTTCCTTGTTTAAACATGCACCACAGTGTGGTCTCTCTTTGTTTGTGACTTCTTGATGTTGGTAAACAGTAATAATTGAAAAATACATATAATATACATATAATAATGTGCAACACATTATGGAGTATGCTTCTGCTGTGAAGTCCTGCCTCCATGTAGTTGTGCAATTAATCACTGGACAGCTGGTATGTTTATTAATAATATGATATTAGGCCAATTTTCTTATACATCTTCTTTGACCTGGGGGTAGAATTAATTGTGAACTGGAAAATGCTTATGAACTTGCAAATTAAAAACACGATGTATCTATGGTAACCCCTTTATCATTTTTGTTTAAGAAGAGAATTTGTTCCTCTGTGCGATGGCCGAACCTGCTGGTTTTCATGGAGATAACTTCTCCAGCCTCTCACATGGGACAGAGGAGGCTGGAGTGCACAGAAACTGGTAGAGATGCAGGTATACAGTCTTCCTGGGTCCCACAAATTATCAGTTAAAAAGAATAAACACATTAAATTGCTGCACATTCTGTAGAATAATATTTTAAGATTATTTTAAAAATAAAATATACATTTTTATTACATTAAATGTAAAGAGTCAAATGGAAGTCTTTCTGAAGTTCTTTCATGATATTTATATTATGAAGAGAATTGTTTTGACATTTTAAGTTTTTCACATTTTCAGATAAAATAAAGATGCACAAAACAAAAACAAACAACAAGAACACAAAGCTGGCAAACCCAACCAAAATGGACCAAAATCAACTCAAAATACTCCCACACGACAGAACCTCCCCTGTTCCTCGCTGGCTCCGTATCTCTCAATAGAATGATCAGTGGTTTGCTCTCTCACCATCAAAACACTCCACAAATCCTTATAAACCACAGAATCAGGTATGTTCTAAACGAAGCTTCGGACATCACTGATCACGTGACTCCGGCCAAATGAACCAAGTGCTTCTGAAGCAGTGTGTTGACTTTTTTTGACACACGCACCAGAGCGTCAGCTTCAAGCGGGCCATCACTAGCGCCTACCCTTAGTTTTGTTAATATTGGCAATAGTGAGAAGTGTTATCGTTGGTTTCAAATATATTCGACATAGGCTATCCAATTAAGGTAAATGTCAACAAGTGCGTCCTCCTTTTCCCCAGATTTGAAGGATGAGTTGGTGTTTTCTTCATGGCCCAACCTATCCCAGAATTCACAGCGCGGAGGACAAAGACGAGCACAGGGAGAGCGAACGTCGTTCCGTGGTGTGGAGTGGATGAGCTCGGACAATTAGAAAGGAAAGGCAGGAGAAGAGATCAAAGGAAGTTGCAAACAACGGATATCTTAATGGATCAATGAGGGGAACCCTCGATCGCATAGCGACGTGGCTCGACTTTGAGCTGAAGCTCTGACAGAGAAGAATGCTGGATTTGAGATTTGAGGTAGGGCTTGGCGGCTCGAAAAGCTTGTGAGCTTGTCTTTGAGTAGAAGATGGATAGGAGGTGCTTAGCTGGTTAATTACTTCAGATAAGGTAGCAATAACGACTGAGCTGATTTCTGAATTAACAGAAGTGACAGCAGCAGCAGCTTGGGAAGAGTTGATGAATTGAAAGATTGATTAGAGGAAAATAATCTCTTTAATAATAACCCCCAAAATTGTCCAAGAGCAGAGAGCGTGGGAGATGATAAGCCGTTCAGACGCAGTCAGAACCGTGAGTCAACTTAGAGAGCGGTCTCGAATGATTGTGTTGAGGGTGGATGCCTGATGATGCTAGTGAAAACACATGAGAAGTGAAGGGACGCCTTGAAGAATTACGCGCGCGACTCAGTTTGGATGTCTTAAAAGGATTGATGGAGGACAGAACCTGGCATCTCTGTGCCACGAAGGTTCAGCTTTGCTTTGGAAAGGCAGGAAAGATGGCAGTGAAACTGGCATCTCGGTGCTGGAAGCATGCTGCTGCATTTGCGAATGAGGGATAAAGAGAGAACCTGGCACCGAGATGCCATGAGGTTCGCCGATGCTTTGGAAAGGCAGGAAAGATGGCAGCGAATCTGGCATCTCAGTGCCGAGCAGAGAAACTGGCAACTCTATATTAGAAAGCGTGCTGCTGCGTTTGCGAATGAGGGATAAAGAGAGAACCTGGCAACATGGTTAAAGAAGATTGCTGCTGCGATTAAGAATGATGGACATAGAAGGAACCAGCGGGAAGGATTCTCTGCTGCTTTAGCCATGATGGATGGACAGAAACTGGCAACTCAGGGGTAAGAAGCTTGTCACTGCGGTTTGCACATGGCAGATATAGCAAGAACCTGACACCTCTGTGCTAGAAGGGTTTGCTGCTGCTTGCAATGATAGAAGCGGAGAAACTGGCAGTTCGGTAGTAGGGAAGCTAGATGCTGCATGCAAATGGGGGATGAAGGAAAACCTGGCAACCCGGTGGCTTTTAATTTATTTGTCTATACAGACAACTGCCAACCCGATGGTAGAAAAGCTGCTGCTGCTTTCGCGAATGAGCAATAAAGGAACCTAGCAACCGGGTGCCGAGGTTTGCCGCGGAGTTTAGCAGAGGAGGGATGAGTGGCTGAGAACCTGGCAACTCAGTGCCGATGTTTGCCGTAGAGCATGGCTATTCAACTACGAAGTTAGTTGGGCCAGATTTTCAAACCGAGGAATTTATCTGGGCCAGATATTTTTTTTGAAGCCAGTAAGCAGCAGATCATGATCAATTTCAAACCCACACAACTGTACTGAAAAACAAGTAATTTTTTTATTCCTATTCGCCTGTAAATCTGGTGACCTCTCACAAATGCACACCAAAAGGTCCATTTAAAAAAAGGGAGCTATAACTAAACTATTTTTTGCACATTTGAAATAATAATAATAATAATAAAAAACATTTTGATAATTCCCTTTCAAATTAAAATAATTTTCCTGCCATGGATGGAGCCCCATCCGTCACAAGTACACAGACACGCTTCATATCCAGACCATTTTCCTCAAAAAGAGCTTAAATCTTCTCAAACATCATTTCGCCAGCTCGATACCGGTGCCAAATCGGTACTTTTGAAACGTCGGGCTTAAACTGTAACCGGTGCTTAAAGAATGGAGAACACACAATTGGTCCAAAAACCTCTCATGTTCAGCTGTTTTTTGTAAAAAGATAACAATGTTAGCCTTTTCTGCAGCTATGGGGCATATATGGTATCACTCTTGGCTGGAAGCAGTGCTTAAACAATGGAAAAAACACAAACTTTGTCCAAAAACCTCTCATGTTTAGCTGTTTTCCACTTTTTCTTTGGTCATTTTAGCCTTTTTGGCCAGGGTGAAGGGAGTATCTGCCATCAAACAAGAAGACAGCCGCATGTAGCTATGATGATGTTTGCTAGTTCACCTTACATGCATTAATGTAATAACGTGGTTAGCCTACTCAACGTAAATTACACACGAACAACATTAAGCTACTCACGCAGAGAAGAACGGCTGCTGCTGCATCATCATCCTCATCATTTCTGCTACACTGGCAGGGCTAGGGGCCAGGACTCTCCTCTTCGGGTTTTTGGGGGATGTTGCTAACTCCGGGTCTGATAACAGGCACCACACCCGCAGTAGATGTGCTCGGTGTGAGGTCTCGCAGCAAGCTATCAAATACGGCGCATTTCTCGGCTTTTAAAAAAAACGCTATGCGTCGCCAGGTGTTTCATCGGATTCGAGGTGTTACCTCCTTTGACAGTATCACAGTATCAGCTTAAAGCACTTGTTAGCTGCTGAGTTTGCATCTTTTGCTGTGAAGTACAGCCAGACTTTTGACCGCTTCGCCTTGGGCATTTTTAATCTGTAGCTCTGCTCTAAAAGAACGTACGTACCTGGCCCCGCCTACTATCCTCGGAAAGGTAAAATGATTGGCTGAATCCAAGTGTATCTCAGGAAAAAAAAAGCACCGAAATAGTGCGCTGCTTTTCGGTCTGGTTACTACCGTTTATGTCAGAACGGGTGCCATCATGGCACCGGATACCGGTACCCATCCCTAGCTGTGAGTTCTGCTGGCGGGCGACCTCGCTGGTTTTTGCTGAAATGGCGGGCGGCCGGATTACTTCATGACTGGATTTAGCGGAGATAAACTGACTGGATGGATGTAAAAGACCGTATGTCGGGTGGCGAGAAAACTGCTAGGTTGTCGTCAGCATTCGGTTTTTTGGAAGCACGCCGTTTGTTTCTGGGATTGCCGGAGGAAAAGCGATGGATGCAGAGCTTGGGTAGTTGTTCGTCTGACGCGCTGACGGACGAGAGGGTGATTGTAGCGAATAGAAGGGTGAGTAAAATTACGTTACTCCCGAGAGATGAGCTGTGCTTAAAGGTATTCGCTGAGAATGGACAGTTTGCAGAACTGGGGGGAACCCAGATGACAACCGGAAGGAGCGTGTTTGGAGGCGTGGTCCCGCTCCTGAAATTCCGATACATTGGTCGTGTCCAAATTCATGGGCTGCATCCTCCTGAGGCCGCATTTGTAGACCGATTACGTCACAGCGACGCGCCGAAGGCTGTCCAAATTCGTAGACTCCTCCGAATGCAGCCGACAAATGCGTCCTC